TTATTATTATTATTATTTTTTTTAATTACCGATGGATTCCCAGATTGGGACCAAAGTGGTGGACGGACTGACACTGGCATCTCTACAGCTGACAGCATTGCTAAAACCACTGTATCTCCCTATATGTCAGTATTTCCTTTATTCTTTATCAAACACTATCTGAGTTTTTCTAAAGCGAGAAAACTTCAAACATTTCGTACTCTGAGCATGTTAGAGTTATTTAATGTCACATTTTTAGGCAACACATCAACTACCTTGGGACTTTGATTTAATTGACAAATAGGACAGTGGTCAGAGATGAACATCTAGCTTCTATTTTGAACCAGGTTTCCCATGAAAATGTTTGACTCCTGTCACAGTCAGGGTGGTTCTCCTTTCCCATCCCTCCTTTCACACTGTGTCACTTCATGTGCGTTTCTTTTCTATCTTCGGCTCCACTGACAAGGTTAAACATGTTGGAGGGGATTTTTCTGTCACCCTTTCACTTGCGTTGTAAACCAATTTTTTTGGTCATATATAGATCCAGTGAAATGCTGTAAAATGCATTTAATATGAAAGAAAGCGTTAACTGTGTTTTGGTTGATTTGCTTTATGATTTAGGCAACCATAAAATCAATGTGGTAATGTCTTTTATTACTGTACATTAATGACCTGGGATGTGTCTCATGTACTGTCTAGGCCACACTTGTTTTGGCCCTGTGTTGATTCTCCCTGTGAGGCTTGGAGTATTACTCAAAGGCCAGACAGCCATCAGCACCAGATGTTTTCTCTGTTGATAGATTACCATCTAGGTGGAGCCTTAAGACTTGTATTAGATAGACTGTGTGTTTTTCTACTGCTTGACTGCCGCATGTGCACTTCAGCAACAGAGTTCAAGGGAAAGAGATGCTTATCTTTGTTAAGGTGTTCTGCTACTTACTAAAACTACATAGTCTGCTTTACCTTTTTCCTCTTCTTCAGATAATGTGATACATTTAGGGACTGTATGAAAAGTAGTTGGAGGGGGTCAGAAAAAGGGAAGGGTATTTTAATAATGATGACATCGAATCATCAGAGTGCAATTTTATGAGGTACTTATCCAGAGTCAGTGTGTTATCATAAGTGGATGGCAGTTGGCATGCTCACATTTTGGGGTAGGAGGAAGGAATACTGTCATGGAAGCCAAGCAATGTACTGCTGTGGACAGGGGCAGCAGCAAAACGTATTTCAGCGACCTAAAAAAAAATCAACATCAATTTAAGTGTAGGCTACATTTGGAAAATATTCACAGCTTTACCTTGTGGTCAGACAGGACTTTCTGACAGAGAACTTAAGAAGTTATCTCTGCTCTTTTCATTGGCAACAGACTCCTTTGATTAAAACAGTACTTTTATCTTTCAGAACTCTTGGTGTTTTAAAGAGTTAGTTTGGATCCACCAAAGTCACACAATAACACAAACTAACGGATCGAGGTAGTGGTAGACCAGCAGCTACTATATTCAGCAAGATAAAATTACTATTTCTGTCGATGGAATTTGGTGACTTTGATGAGGAAATTGACGTCCCCATCTCAAAGGGCTGTCTGATGGCAAGGTGTAGCAGTTGAAATATTCCAAATATAGCATACACTTATATCCCTTTTCCACCGAAATAAGTGCATTCGCATATTTTTTTTTTTTTTTTTTTTTACACACGAGAAAACCCTCTTAATAGGCTTTAGACTCATTTCCCATTGCCAGTCCTCTTACAACTTGAGTTCGGTAACAGATTGTTAGGTGACTGCTTTCTTTGCCTTATCATTCTGTCACTAGAGCACTGTTTTTGCAAAAGTTATGTTAAAAGGTGATTTTACCATAAACTTGGTCTCTTAAATGTGTATTTGTAAGTATTATCAACTGAGTGCAAATTATTTCCACTCTATCCCGTATTATTTATATTGTTAGTGTATCTATCCGCCCAGTTTTTAAGATTTGTAAAATATCTATATCCCACAGATAACTATAAACTTTCCCTTGTGCCCTTTTGTCCTTTAACAACATTATCACCATTTGTCCATTGACCACATGTGTGCTTCTCTCCCGTTTTGTCGCTGCTTGGAGCTATGTTCATGTTTAAAACTGTGAAATGTGCTACATGCCATGTGATGGCAAAGCTATCACAATATCACGCCTGAGATGCGAGGAGCAGTGGGCGAGCCTTGTGAGTAGGGAGACAGTGCTCTGGCTCAGGTTCAAACACCCCGAGGCAACAAGCATCGAACACTGAAACCCTACATGACTCCGAAACTTTGGACTGTTACAAAGACTAAAATGTTCTCTCTTGGGGTCATTTACATACATTTTAAAAAGCCCCCAAATTCCACAAAAACACGGAGTGTTTACAAGACTTTGAGTGAGAGGGGTTTAATAGAGTTTGGCCAAACTTAACAGTACAATGATACCCAACGGCACAACAACCCCCAATGTTGACAACTTAAAATATATTTTGCTAATAATAAATAACCCCATACTATGAATACACAAAGACAGCTAACACTCAGCATCTCCTTAACAGCTATTTAAAGCAGCCCCAGCTTCATGGCCGTTATCAGTTGTTGTCAGCCCCACAGATTTGGGTTAGAAACCTACTAGTGCTACACCTACTTGTACGTTCGGAAGGTCATTG